AGAGGGAAGGCAGCTAGTCATCACCACCCACCACCAACTCTTTTACCAACAAATAGTGGGATTGACCATCACATTATAATGCCTCATGGCTGAAAGGGCGAGCATGTTTGGTGGGACAGGAATTCGAACCCGCGACCCTCAGATTGTGAGTCAAGCGCCCTAACCATGGGAAAGAAAAGGAGTCTAATGAATGACTAAATGGGAATGTGATCCATGGAGGGAGCAGTGTGAGTTGTGTAAAGGTGAGAAATGGAAGGAAGAGAAATGGGAGTGAAGGAAAAATCATCCTCACATGTGGCCAATGTTTTAGGCAGAAAATACCAGTACAGGTAGAGGATGACATAGATCCTATGATATAATGTGCAAGATACATTGAGAACAAATAAATTTAAATGATGACATCCACACACCCAAAGGAGGAAGAAAAAGGTCATTAAGGAGAGGTGATATAAGGAACAGGATAACATGGGCTCAAAGGGAGGAAGGGTAAGGGCATAGAGGATGATATTTAGGTACCAATCAGGGAGGGCAGAAGGACAAAAGGAACAAAACAATAGGGTAAGAACCAGAGAAAAGAAGACACGGCAAAATCTTGTGAAATGGAAAGTGGCTGACAAGGCCACATAATAACCAGCAATGGAGGATACTAAAAGCCCCTTATCAAAAAGCCACGTAAGGAAGGAAGTCAGGTGTGGGAGAGTAGGATGGGATGAGGGAAAACCATGATGAGAAGACCAATGACAGTAGACATACCACTTATGCTGGTAAACTTACATGGAGAAAGGGTGAATGGAATAGGAAATCAGGGAAGCAACTCATGGGGAAGGTTCAGCAAGGGACAGGACAAAAGTGAAGATGAAGTGTTGGAATGGAAGGGTGTAGTGCACCTGAATGAGATTAGCTGAGGAGGGTGAGAGGGGAAGAAGAAGAGGAGATGTCAACACAAGCAGGCGCAGAAGTGAAAAGCATGGCTGCACTGGCCAAAGTGGTGCCACCAAGAGGATGTGACATGGAGTGGCTTGTGTGATGGAGAGAACATGAGGAAGAAGATGGATGGGAGATAGGCAAAGAGGTAAAGGCTCCACAATCATAACTGAGGGCATTGACAGCCACAGCTGAAGGATGTGGAATTGTGGACGAAACCTGGGAAGCTTAGAATTCAGGTGGGTGGTGAAAGCATCCAGTTCCAGAGAACCCCACTGGTAATGTAGCCAGCTGATAATCTCAGGGAGAATATTAATGGGACACAATATATGATCTACAAACAGATTCAGAGCACCCAGTATATGACATGCCAACAAGTTAATGTGATGGCTATGGACCCAAAACAGGAGGCCCAACGTGTGGAAACACAGAGACCTTGATAGAGTGCCATCTTGCCAAATGATATATGAGACAACTGTTGAGTTGTTGGAATGGATCATAACTGGAAAGAAGTCAACCAATGCTTGCAAACAATGAGCAGTTCTAAGAGACTGATACTCAGAGATGATGCATCGACAGAGCAATGGCCCAAAATCTCCTGCTTCTAGATATGCACCTTAACCTGAAAGAGAAGCATCCATGAAAGGTGTACCTCTAGATAAGGAGGAGGAAGAGGAACACCCATTGTGGTATTGTCTCTGTTCAACCACCAGGTGAAGTCTACATGAAGGGAAGGAGGGAGATGGATAAGGGCATCTAAGGAATCCAGAATGAGGTTCTACTAATCTTGTAAAGCCAACTAAAGATGATATATGAGGGCTTACTCAAGGGGAATGTGGGCTTCCAAAGAAGCTGATGTCCCCCAAAGAGATAGAACCTCTCACACAGTTGGAAAAGGGGAGGAGGAACCAGCCCTAACCAGAAGTTCCATAGATCACAGGTGAAGGGGAGAAGGTAGACTTGGCTGAGATGGGAATTGGAGAATACCCTAAGATGAACAGGGTATTGAGTAGGGACAGGAAGGACTTCTCTACCCTGGCCAGCCAACCTACTTATGCAGCTGCTTCAAGAAGAAACTGATTGTGAAGGGAAGAGGTGGCATGTGAAGGAGCTAGAAGCACCTAGTCATTCATATAATGGTGGAAACAAAGGCCCCTGGAATAGAGAAGACCAGCAAAGGCCTTGATAATCTAACAAAAAATGTAGTGAGCCAAAGCCAGTTCAAAAAGAAGAGCCTGGAACTGGTAGATGCAACCCTGAAGAACAAAACAAAGAAAATGCCAGAATGTTGTGGAGATGGGAATGTGGAGGTAAACACCCGAGACATCTAACTTCATCATCTAAAGACTAGGAATGAAAGCCAATCGAAGAGATAGGTAGGACTCCATGGTGAATTGAGGAAGGTAAAGGAAGTGGTTCAAGGAAGAGAAATCAATGAGATCTTGGGACTATGAATAATTGGGAATAGAAACCTGGCTGAGAAAGATCTACCCATTTTGCAGTGGCCTTATGAAGAAGATCTAGAAATGCCTTGGAAAGACACTGGCTGGAAATGGGATCCCAAGGAGGTTGAAGGATATGGGATGGAGGACAGCGAGGAGGGGAACTGAAATGAAGAAGGAGCCTTTCAGAAAGAACCCACAGATCCCTAGAGTCTGTAGTGAAGGGATCCCAAATAGTGGAAAAATGCAAAAGCCTAGCCCTCACCAGACCTGTACCCACCATGTACTCACTGGGACCTCCAAGGGCACTGAAGCCTCAATGAATGAACCAATGGCTAACCTTGGAGAACCCATGTAGCATGCATTAGTATAAAAGAGGAAGGAGGGGGATGAGACACTGAAATAGATTCAGGATAGGTTGAGACAAATGGGAAGCAAGTGAGGAAAAGGAAGAAGGTTAGGGGTAAATGCACACAGGACAAAAAGACGTCCTGACCCAAGAGATCCCAACAACAGAGGGGCAATGTGTGTAGGGAAAGGGCAGAAGAGGACAACTGTGCAAGCATGGAAAAATCCAGGGCACAAGTCTCCACCAAAAACTCCTCACGCGAACAATGAAGAGCCTCAGACAGAAGGTGAACCAAGGAAAGGGTACGAGTGAGGGAGACTAACATGAGGTAGATATGGGAAAATTGAAGTAGGGAAAATGTTACCAAAATATTTGGATACAAACCTCACAGAGACAAAAGAGAATCCAACTGCTGGGAGTCAAAAAAAGGAAATGCAGACCTATGGGAAGCCATAGCATGGGCTTCCATATTATGTGGGAACAAGGCCGATACCCACATGTGATTGGTCTGCAAACCTATTAGCATGAATCCCAATTACGGGGGGAGAACAAGATATTAGCCCAAAGGGGCTTGACTTAAAAGGGAAGGAGAGGAGTCATAGGTAACAGGGGACAAAACATAACATATCTAGTTTACTAATTCAAAGAAAAGAGGAGGAAACAGACTGTCAAAATCAACGTCCTCTTGTTCAGGCATGATAGGATAATCCTCAGGCAAATCAGAAGCCCTTATAAAAGTAGCCAACTTTCGGTGAACCAAGCCTGTAACACCTTCTGCTAATAATTATGGACCCAAAGCCACTGTAGTTGAAGTAAGATGATTTTTTTTGTAAGAAAAACAGTGGTAGTAATTATAATATGAATCTAAGAATTCATTGCAACTAAAGGTGGAAGTAGAAAATTCCATACAAGGAAATCCAAAGGATAAAATCTTAAGAGAAAAGACACCTATTATAAATGTGTACAAACTAAAATTTCAGAACATAAGTGTGGCAAATGTAAAGAAAAACTAAGTTCCCAAACAAAAACAACAAACTGTTTGAAAATCCTGTAAAGAAAAGTGTTAGCAAAAAAAAACAGGGCTTAACACCATAAGTGCCAACTGAGAGGTGAAGTTGGGCTAAGCTGCATAGAGGGAGGAGTCAGCTGTGCTAGGAGTTGTGTTGCACTTATATTGGTGGAGGGTTGTTGCATGCTATCACGCAATTGCCTCATGTGAAACCATGTGAGGATAGGTGGGAGTATGGAATATAGTGGCAAGCAAAAATCTGCACATATAGATGGCAATAAAAGTTGGGAAAAATTATCCTGTGAGCATACTTGGAAACAGCTAATGGAGTTGCAGCAGAGAATGAGTTCTGAATATCAAGGAAAGTAATCTCCTGGACAGAAATGTAGTTACTATGATATCCTTGAAAGAAATATACATGAACAAAAGATCTGCAAACACTGTGTTAACTCCAGATTATTATTTCAAGAAGGTGAAATAGCTTATTCAGGCTGAAATATCTGGTGTAGTTTCACAAGCCAAAGCAAGCTAACAGGTCTGAGCAAGTTAATATAACAGAAACAAGAGATGATGCATTTCAGTTTGATGAAGATGCTCAGACTGACATCTAAGCTATTTATGATGGAACCCATATTCTTAGGAGAGCCATATCCAAAAGTGAGAAGTGGACATTCATTGACAGATGTAGATGAAAGACATGAACCTAGAGTGTTGTACAACTTCTACAGATAACTGTTACAAAGTTCAACAGACACACTGTAAGTAGACAAAAAGACTTTGCATGTAAAGAAGCATGCTACAAGCTTAGCTCAAACTACAGTTATTATGTTTTTGTCTGATCATCTCCTTAACAATAAGAGGTTGAAGACATCTAGACAGGTGACTTACTTTCATAACAAAATTTACATGGAACATTGGTTTTACATATGTTGCTATTTAATTTCAGTATAATTATTTCTAATAGATAAGTAAATAGTATTACCAAGAAATGTATTTATAGTTCCAGTGTCAAAAATTAATAAATCAATGTTACTTTCAAGCAAGATTATCTCCGAGATTATTAATGGATTAACTATTAATGTAAGATTATCTCTAAAAAGAAATTATTCATGAACTGACTAATCAATGTTTGTTCAATAAAGTAAGATTACAACTGTCAAAGAGATGATTCATGGATTAAGTATTCATATCACTGTCAATTATGACATAACCATGAAAAATATGAAGGAACAAACTAATTAATGTAATTTTAAGCTAAGTTAAAAGTTCTAGTGTCCTATATATCAGATATTATTGATCTAATTACCTCCAAAAGAATATCTAATCCAGTAGCATCAAGATATGATATAGAAGAGCAATCAATAACAATATGGTGAAGTTCTTTTTTCCTCAGAAGGTTTTCATCAGATTTCTGGTTCATTTTGGATTTGGCAAGACTGTCACTCACAAGGCTACAAAAGTAAAGAAATAATAAATGTATTCATAATTCTTTACTATTCAGGTATGGATTTCTAGTCAGAAAATTGTATAATAACCGTTTTTTTTGTTGCATACCACTCTGAAAGATCTTTTACTCAATAGCATATTGCACTAGTCCAGCTGGATTACAACCTACAAATTCTTAGTTGAAATGGTTTTCAAGTCAGTTGTTTGTGATACATCAAGTTTTATGTTTAGGATGTTTTTACTAGTGAATCTATTGAAACCTATTCTGGGTAGTGTTATCAGTCTTATTGTGATGTAACATTTTATATGCATTACTACTAAGGTATTCACCCCTGATACTTTATGTCTCATATGAATAACCTTTGTACATTGTAATCCAGCCTGCATGTTGAGCTCAGGTATTAAAAAAAGGCCTCATCAACAGCAGAATAAATCTAATGAAGTATAATTGAAATGCTATTGTTAGACATATATTTGGATAAAATATAATAAAGAATAAATTGACATGTCTAAATGAAAACTTTTTCTTATTTTATTTTGTGTAATGTTTCAGGCAGACACCCTTCATCATGCAGTATTACAAGGGAATTAGGCTCAGAAAGAATCATTGAAAGGTAAGAAAATACAAAGGTTCTAATTACACATGTTCAAAAAGGAGCACTGATAAAAATATTGTTGACTTATAATGTAAACATTATTAATATTAGCAAGAATATGGAAAAAGTAACTACAACAAATAAAGTTGGTTTTAGAAATATAAACATAGTGCTACGACAGTGGGGGTCACGTGACAAGTATTCTACAAGATTCGCTAGTGTGTCTCGACAGCGGGGGTCACGTGACGAGTATTCTAGAAGCTTCACTAGTGTGTTACGACAGCCGAAGTCAAGTGACGCTGGTAGCACATGTTGTGAGTCTTAGAAGTTTCTAGAACAGGCAGTATTATCGTATATAAGTGCGCTAGACAGTGAGAGAGACAGACGGAGGCAGAGACGTAGCAGAGACCGAGGCACAGACGAAGCAGGTGGAGAGAAAGAAAGACAGCAATTACGGTCGGCGGGAACTGAGGATAGCAGACACAGAGTTCGGAACTATAGTTGGCGGGGACGGACAATTAAGTCTAAGCTCATAG